TATATTTTTTTAAATCGCGATAAGTGTAATTTTTGTTATTCATCAAATAACACTTATTTGCTAAATAAAAAGTAAAACAATTCTTAATCGTCATGCGATATTTTACCATCGATTTCTTCCATGTATTAAACATTTTATCAGTTAATTGCAATTTGAAACTATAGATAAGAGCAAAATGGCTTCTCGTGATAGTGAATCGAATATTTTCGTTTCGTATCTTGTTATTAAAAATTGAGGTCATAGATTCTATTGACATGTTAAAAATATTTGAAATATATTTGTTTTACGCACGTCTATTACCAATTATTAATGAAAATAATATTAATAAGGTATTAGACATGCGCATTACAAATCTGTTTTCTTCGCATTTTTTTTTCTTATTGTCTACCCAGTATACACTATACTAATGCCTAACACAAATATACATAGTAAATACAATAAACAGATATATTTATATGGCTTTTAAGACATTACAGTAAAATATCATATATTTATCACTACTGCGTTTAACAACTTTCGAGATTTCTTCACGTTCTATGGTTAAAAATAAGCCAACAAACAGTACATAACTCATGTTTGTTTGCTCATTAACGACGAGTATTTGTAATTAATTTCATTTACGTGTAACTCTAAACTTTGTAACGAAATTTAATGTCCGAACGATTGTGAAACTACTATTAGATATATTAAATCATACTAACGTAATATACAATAATTTACATAAATTTCGCTATTGCACGTAATATTATTCAATACTTTCTGCTAAAAAGACTTAATTGAACGTATCATAGCTAATACGGTACTAACATATTTTGCATAACTATACTTATTACTCAACGCATACTGTTCGTTAATGATTTTTATAAATAATAAATATTTATAAAATACAAAATTTTGTAACAGAATATTTTTCACGCGGTCAAAATCATATTGTAAGAGCTATTCTCAGATGTTGTACGAAAGAAAACGATTACAAATATTTACAGGAATAATTAATAACACCGACAAATATTTATAATGCGTATAAGTATTCATACGAGAGCATTTGGTCCCTACAATATTGTTAATAAAACCTATGTTAAGTAAAATTTTCATGAAACAAGAAAACTAGAATTCCTTTTTGAATAATTCTATGTATATTATAATTTTGAAATACATTTGTATTTATATTGATATTTTATATTCAAACTGTATTTGATTATAACCGAAATAATTTTGGAATAGATGCTTTTTTCTAATCAGATAGGAATCAAAAACACTACGAAAATATTTAATTGCATAAACACAAAAGATCTAAATATATCTCTTGCACTCTTCTCCTTCACTTATGAAGCTTCTCTTAAATTTGTGAAATTTTTATCAAAATATTGAAAGCAAATCTTATCTCAAAGAATCTTTCGTAATAAATGAATATTTTTAAATTAATCTAATAATAAAAAGCGAACAACGATTTACTATCATTTCAAGAGTACGTATGGCTATTTCAGATTAGGTAATTTCTTGATAATTTTTAAGTTAAATTTCAGTAACACAACAACAGATAAAAAATATAGTGACATAATCAACTCGGATATACGTAAATTTTTATTTTACCAGATAAATATTTTTTAAATCTGACGATTTTTCTTATTTTTCTAGTCTTTAGCTTTACTCCTTAACGATGAGAAGTTTATTAATAAGATATTAATGTGACTCGAAGGATGAAAATATTTACTAAGACTGAAACATTACTATTAAAGATAATTATAGTTATTCGCAAAATTAACCAATTATTGAACGATACTCGATTGCAGGATATAAATATGCTGTAAGGACTTTTAGTAATTAGCATGATAAAACAATTTAAAAACAATTTGAATAATCAGAAGTTATTTAGAAATTACATTAGTAATAATAATACCACTGTAATATTCTGAAATGAATCTATCAAAATCTACATATATCTAATGTTTATATTTAATTAACAACGATTATCACTCTAATGGTTTTAGCATTTCGATTATGTATATTTTATATACATATAAGTATCTGCAATAAATTTTATAAAAAAATTGTTCTATATTTGAATTCTTTTAATATAATAATATTATTATATTGGATGTGAAACTATGAAAACCATGACAATAGCACGAAAGTAGTATCTTTAATGAAAATTTAAGAAATAACAAATATTATGCTTTTAAAATTGCTAAGTACTATAGCATAAGCTAAGAGTAAATTGAAAGAAATTTAAATTAAGGACAAACTTTATTTCTATTATAACAATGATTGAATAATAGGTAACTATTAATATTAAGAAGAACAAGATTATTTAATACAACCAGAAATATTTACAAAAAAGTAAAGTATATTCCAGTAATTGTAAAATATTTTTTACAATTACAAACAAATGTAAGAGAAATTTAAAATCTCTCAAAATTTGATGTAAAATTTATTACCAAATAATACAAGTATATAATCTGATTTGAATATAAGAAAATACATTATTTAATTATTTAAATTGTTAAAAATTCTTTAATTATTTAAAAGGATTATTAAATAGTTTACTAAGTTAAGAAAGAAAAGCTAATACCATAATACTTCAGTGATATTGTCAATAATGGAGTCAATAATATCATATCCATATGAAATATTAAATTTAGACATTTAACTTGGTCAAAGCAATAAAAATATTTATAACTAATTTTAACAAATTTTAATAGTGATCTATATTTAAAAACGCTATGTAATTTTGATACCAACTATTCAGAAAATGTTGTTAATATTTCCCTGAATATTTAATATATTATTATTAATTCAGTATTGAAAAGTGCATTTTTTGATTTTAATAGATTTTAGATTAAATACAATTTAAGAATTAATTATTACTAAAAGAAAAGTTTTGCTAAAATGTAAACCTGAGAAACTCATATTTTACATGTTAACATAACATTTTATTTCACAATATTTTTTTTTTATCTAACGAAAATGAATATTAAAAATAATTGATAAAATATCTATTGTCATATATAAAAAACTAATTCGTTTTTAAAAGCCATACGTTTATGTGTTATAACCATTTTTAAAATTTTAGTGATCGTTGGTTGTAACAATTCTTCCCTCTGTTGCAATAAAAACGTAGTAGTGATTTAAATCACATTTGACAATTTGCAGAAAGTATAAATGGATAGAATAAAAATATATAAAAAATATCTACCTTTAATTTCTAAGTGATCACTATTATTTATGCATAAAATACAATTTTTTAGATTTAAACATGTCTGTAATATGTTTCTTTCTCTGTGGGAAAGATATATTTACAAGATATTTTTGCACAGTGTTCTATGTTCAACACATGACAAGAATTGAGCGCAATTTGTTTATCTCGACTTAATTTGTGTTAATTTCAAAAATATTATTCATTTTCAATTTCTGCACACCTAACGTATGTTCCAGCTCCAATATATTGAATTTTTGGAGACATTGTAACTATATATTTGAAAAATATTTATTTAGCACGATTTTAATACAGTTTTTAATGTGATTTAAAAAACAAAGAGTAGAATTGCGGAAATTAATCAGAAGTAATTGTATACTATATAAAAATTCGAAAATATTTCGGTATAATACTCTCTTTCTATGTATATATATATATATATATATATGATTAGATACCTAACATATCTAATTATATCTAATCTTTATGTGCAAAACAATTCCTATTGTGGAACTGCAGAACTAGAAATACAGATGTGCATTTATAATTTATGCCAAACTTCTGTACACTAAATTTTACATAAATTTAATAAGCGTACATTTAATGTTCATTTATTTGTAATGTAAAAATTTAATAAATAGTAATATCATATATAAATATAAGAAATGGCCTTACTTTTGACTTAAGATATTTTTATTTTTCAAATGCGATGCAACCTTTAAAGTCATTTATATCTTGTAAAAGGCCTTAAAATACTCCATGATTGAAAATAAACAAATTTCTCGTTCTAATTACGACAACGTCTAAATCATTTGTGGTAAACAGTTTTTCAATCTAATTCAATTTTACTTGGATAGAAAATAACTTGTACCTGAAAATTTATAAATGTAAGTTTGTACAATGTACAGTGTACAATGTCTTTTACAATAAAAAAGATTGATAATAAACTGCAGTAATATATGAAATAATATTATATACGATCAGTGATTTCATCAATTTTATAATATCGTATTCACAAATATTTCAAGTAATACTTTAAGTAATATGCACAGTTCTATCATAATATCATTTAATTGTACAATTTATAATTTAAATGTACTAAAAGATCGAGACGTGAAAGTAGAACTGTTGAATTTAGAAAGTGCAAAGGTGTACTTAAAATTTGCTACAACGAGAAATTCGCTTATTTCGTTCCTTACTTCTTACTCTATAAATTATATTATCTAATATTGGTATTTATAAAGTTATAACAATAAATAATATTTGATTATTTCATTAAATATATAATCAATATGGCAATGCACCACAGAATCGAACTTACAGACGCATTGACGCGTGCACATTCGTTCCTTTATATCCCTTTAAATAATACAGATAAAATACGTAGCATGTCGTAAGACGTGATATGTTTGAAAAATGGAAGTCTCTTTTAATAATATAATTCAAAAAAACAAACATTACAAAGAACTATTCCATTTGAAAATTAGATATTAGTTTAAAACCACGAAATTTAAACAATTTTCATAGCAGTAATAATACTGCTACTAATTAATAATTGATAATATATATAAATCAATCACGGTTGTTAGATTGTATCCGAGACTATGTTTATTTAACGTCTCAAGATGAAGTAGATTTAATTATCGACTACTTACATACTCTTTGATTCTACTGCACTTATTTACAGGAAGAGAATATTACAATATTATTTTTTATTATTCTGATCTGATATTTCGTGTAAAATAGAAAACGATAAAAGTAATAACAGTATTTCATATTAAATAAATAATAAGTGATTGATTTGTTTAATAAAGCGAATATTTAAATTTTGTTGGGTTACTGGTTAACAATTTTCTGCTATGACTATTTGCGTATTATAGTAAATGCAACAGCAATGCTACATTGAATAGAATACACAAGAATGACAAAGAAACAAAAATAAATAGTAAACAGAAATTATTATACAAAAGAACGTTATGTATATGTTACATAGTGTTATTTATGCATAACATAAATGATATTGAAACAAGTATGATTATACAAAAGAAGATATAATTAATAAAATTGTTTGTCTGTGTACATATGTGAGACCATTGTTATTTTCGAGTAAAATGAAATTAACCTCGAGTCTTGAGAGTATTTCATTTTTCAAACATATCATACCTACTGAACACATTGATGATCTATACTATGATGTGTCATAAATGGTAACGAATGTATGAGTGTATAACTTGTCATGATAATCGAGTATTTCATTCACAAAGAGAAGATTCGTCTTCATTTTTAATCGATACGATTATGTATGCGTCTATGTATATACATATATATGCGAATTGATTTCTTACATTTATCGCGTAAGAGCTTGAATACTGCATGTACATATCAAAACCGTGTTTGTCCTAAAACGACTGATGAAATTCAAGCAAATAAAACAAATACGTTAAATTATTTTAAAAAAAGAAAAAAAAAGAAAGAAAAGAAGAAAAGAGAAAAGAAATAAACTGAAAAAAATACGATCGAACCACATTTCAAGTACTATGATAAACTTTAAAGAAACTAAACGTGGCTAATTATACCCTTCTTTTTTTAAATTACAATGTACTTTAGTAAGTTTGTAATTACACGAATAGCTTTTATAATTCTATGTAACAATATAGAAACTTTAACAGTAAAAATTTAACAATGTACAACGTAAACCTCTTTAAGAATAATCCTTTTACCACTGACAGTAAAAGAGAAAACAGTCATGAACCGCGTATAAAATAAATAAGTAACTCTGTTACTTAAATTACAAGAGCGTAAACTATTTGTAAGCTTACGAACTTAGTCCGAAGATTACTCGAGTATTTGGAAAAAGTAGCCTAATAATAAAATAAGAAAATTTTCCTTGTGAAATTCAATACTTTTCCTGCTCACATAAATACGCGACACGAGACAAAACTGCATATTACTACGCGTTCAATATTTTTTATTTACCAAGTACTAATCCTCTTAATGGATCCCCGCGATTTTTCTCTCCACGATACGCATATTACGTCAAATACTTCTATTACTTGCTACTAACCGTTGTTTCAGAAATGCGTGTTATAATGTCGTTTAATATAACCACTGTTAAATAATTATCAAAACTGATACGACTAGTAAATGACTGATGTGATTCTCTTAATATAAACATTCGATATCATAATAAAAATAATACCATCTAATCCTATTACCTGAAATGTTCTCAAGTTCCAATATTTTTGTTTCCTTTCTTTCCGGTAACCATCGTGTATTGATGTTAAGAACGTTACGACTTCCACATGCCGATCGTTAATGCTTCTATCGTTGCTAATGATAATTTCGATCGATGAAAATATGGTAATGATGACAATCAGAATGACGAGAAATGGTACACCAACAACAATAAACGTGAAAATGATAATGGCAATCGTGTGCAACGATAACAAAAAGAGGCCAGTAATAACATCGATGATATTACTGACGAAAAAAGATATTAATAATTATAATAAAGAATAATAAAAAGAATAATATGTGATGACGATAGAGATATAGCAATAACAGTAATATTAATGGTAATAATAATAAAGACAATAGCAATAATAATATTAATAATAATAATATCGTAATAATAATAATAATAATAATCGTAATAATAGTAATAACAATAATCGCCTTCAATTGCGAGAAAATAATTGATAAATATTAATTACTGTTACGATACAAACCAAAACAAAAAAATACATATGAACACACGTGTAAATACGTATTTTTCTGTTCAACAGTGGAGAACATTCCTTTTATTATATCATCGTCAGAAAGCTAAAGAAGCAAAGAAGAATATACATTTATATGTATATATAAATATATAAAATGACATTGTCAGAATATATGTACATATATGTCAACATCATTATACAGAGTAATCACGTCTTATTAATCACATGATTACAGAGTAATCACGTTGGAAACATCTTGTTTCCGAGATATTTTAAAGAAATTTCTTGAAGAAAAGTATCGCACCGTTTCACGCGTGTTAATTGTCGAAGATTCGACTCTAACGAAAGATAACGTAAAATTTCACGAAGAAAGAAAAAGGAAAATAAATTTTTTCGGAGTAAAGATATTTCATATGCTACCTCGGTTCTGCACAATCGTACATATTCGGTATCCCTTCCGATGGTTTATCAACGCGAAACGTTAAAATGGAGGCCGGGCAAAATCAAACATGATACTCTGTATGCAGAATTACACCATCTGTCGTCTGTTCGTGGAACAACATCGTGTAAAATGAGATAAAATTTCAGCAACAACCTTTTCTGTTCTTTCAAATAAATATACCAATGTACACGGCATGCCATTTCAGTGTGCTCGTCGATAAAGAAGATTCTCCACAAAGAAACATTAGCTTAAAAATTGATAAAAAATACAAATATATTATGTTTTGCCATTTGTCTCTCCAATTCCTCTTTATCTCTTTCTCTTCCCTTCCCTTTTCCTCACGCAGTTATACTCAATTCGAGTGTTGGAAGACCGAGTAGAGATAGAAACAGGAAGAGTATCAGTAATAATAATAATGATAATAATCATACCGATAATAATAATAATGATATTATTATTAAAAGAGAATATTCATGAAAAACGTTGTTGCAACTAAGATCAGCGTGCAAACAACCCACCAGAATGATCAGCAGTGGTGTAATCCGTGAGGAGAGGCGAGGCTGCCAAGGCTGCGTAGTTGGCGTAATCGGCATATGGCGTGTAAATTAACCCATGGGGATCACCGGCAGAAAGGAGAGATCCTGGTGGTCCCGAACCGTTCAGAAGAGACGCCGCGGTCGTTGGAACAGATATCCGTGGCGAGAGTATTAACGGTGCTCCCAACGGAGCACTGGGTGTCCTCATAGGTGTGGCCAAGCCTGGAAGAAGCCGTTGCGTTTCCGCTGCGGCTGCTGCAACGCGTCTCCACTCTTCGTCGCAAGCTGCAACATTCGACATAGTTATTCGAGGATGTAAATGAAAAGTACACATACATTTGTTGATATTCAGGCCCTACTGTTATGGTACATTACGGTTGTAACGTATAATGTCTATCATGGTATTCACATTACGGTTGTGGTATGTGGTAAGAAACGAAGATAATATTATCTCGGTTTTTATTTTCCCTTCTTTTAGAGTATTTAACTTTGTTGCATTAATTTATGTTAGCTTGGAACACAGAGTATCGTATAATCATGTTGCACGTCTTTGAAAAAATGGTGGAAAAATGGATTCTCAGTGGTGAGATGAAATGAATGTTCTTTTTAGAAAGAAATGGATATTTTTGAAATTTGAAAATTGGAGGAAAATATTGGAATAATTTGGAGTGCACGATATATTTTTAACCCTTTGCACTCGACGACTTTTGGACAGAGAAGGGTAGAAATTCAAAGATTCTCTACTGAAAAATTGACGATACTTTTTTGAGCAGTAAATAAAGAATTGTATAATAATAGAATTGTAGAATTATTTGATTTCGATACCGCACACACTGCCACATTGCATTAAATTTGATATATTAATTAATATCGATCTTCCAAATTTTATGAAATGGTGACTTTGCTCTCGAGTGCAAAGGGTTAATATATAGTAACTGTGAGTGTATTCGAGGTGTGGTTTTAATAACGGTTATTAAAAGTACTCGAAGTAATGAAGAAATTGATAATAAAATTTCGAAAGCCTTAGGATTAATGATAGTGAACTGCGAAAAATTGTGGACACCGTATATTTTAAAGTTGGTTTTAAAATTTCTTTAAATTCAAATTATCCTTGAAAATTATTTTTGCTATTATTATTTAAATAGACATATTTAATAACTGATCAAATAAAACTGATCAAATAATATAGTCAATTCTACCAACAAGATAAAATTAATTTATTATTTATGTATGTAGACTCAATAACAGATTAATGTTATATATAGTTTTAACAAAATTATATTTGTTATAAATATTAAATCAGGTTTAGAAAGGTTTTATCCAGCAAATTAGAAGAAATATTCTTTCATTATATGAACATATAACACAAGTGAATTAGTAACTGAATTTTGTACTTATTATTACAAACAAATTGATTCATTTCATTAGAAATATGTATATAATTTCAGGCTTTTTAAACATTATTAAAGATTAAAAAATCTCCTTTATTTAAAAATTTTATTCTTATGCATTAAAAAGTTCTAATTTTATTTTGAAGTATTATTGCAAATTAAAATTAATTTTTAATATTATATACGCTATATTATAGTTATTTAATATCAATATAGAGTTTTCAAAATATTTATTACTATTGCTTACAAAGTGTATATAATTCAGCAATATTATTATTAGCAGTAATAATATACACTAAGTGTATATTATTCAGTAATTAGTCACGTTATTGTGGAAGAACCTTTACATTAACATAATCCAAATGCAACCCAAACCTGTTATTTGAAGGCTAAAAAGAAAATAAATTTAAACATGTGTACCTGTAGCTGCAGCAACTTTTGTATTAGAATCCCGATATGTACCATTGATAATAGCAAGTTCCATTAATTGTCGTTTCTTTAGCTCATCCTCACCATCAGCCTGCTAACAGTTAACACAATTAATAAGGAACGTATTAATATTTAAAAAAAAATCATAGTTTTAAATAAAACTATACTGTTTCATTCCCTTTTTCGAATATTCACATTTTTACATCGTATGCTTATTAATTTCAAATTTGTTCTTCCTATGCATAGTACATAATAATTATTATACATTTATATTACTAAAACTTTGAAAATTTTGCATTTCACCAATCAATTACAGAATTAAATTTCTTACTTTTCCTACTTTAGATTTCTAAAATGAAATTTTCTCTAAATGCATAATCAAAATATTAAATGGTCCACTTGTACAAAACAAATAATTCATTAACACATTAACACAAATTGTTCAATTTTAGTATAATAATTTACATCAATCATTTGAATATAGAATTTAAGTATATAACTTAGTCTTTATTAAAGCTCAAGTCTTTAACACTAGAAATATCAAGTTATAATCCATCTATATATAATAGCAATTATATAATAATAATTAAAGTGGTATAATCAAAATACATAAATATACACGATTATATTCACATTTAAATGTCAATTCAAAAACTAATAAATCCAACTTTGCCTCCATATTAACTTTGCCAAAAGGAGCTGCGATTCTTCAATAGCTGCGAAAATAAAATGTCTGAAAGAAGCCATTTTAACCCCTTTGGTATTTCTAGTGTTAAATATAAAGACATATTTGATACCAAGATGCAGTAAAAAATAAAATGCATTGCAATGTATTACTTAATAAGTAATATACGAAGATGCAGTGAAAAATTAAAATAGGTTGCAATATATCGCTTAATAATTAATATTAGTAGTATAAAATTAATATTACTCAATAATAGGAACTTTCTCACCACGGGAACAAGAAGCTTCTTGACTTCTTCTACAGCTCTGGCAAGTTTCAAAGTGGCACGGTTTTCAGTATCTTCGACTGTCAATAAAACATGCAGTTCATCTGTCAGATGTTCCCAGTTTGGTTTACCTCGGTTTAGCTCTTCCTGATAAAAGAATTAACATCGTGTATAATATAATTACGTAACACAAATTATAAAGTGTAACAGATTTTATCTACGATTACATCACTGATTATATCATCCGTTCTAAAAATATACCATAAATATTGCATACGTGATAACAAATTCTTGAACCGTATATGTGTCTATAAATTTCGTACATTTTGTACTAAAATTGCGATATAATCTACTTGAAATAAAAGATCAATACTGACATGCATCCATCAAAGAACAAATAAACCCTAGAAACGTTGCTATTAATAAAGTTGCAAATAAATTTGATTTTTTGGAAAATAATATATACATTAATATCGACGTGCTTACGACTACGCAGAAGTGTTGGCAAACACGTAAAATTAAAAAGATATTTTGTATCTCCATATGCGTGTACTTACGATAAAATATTTTCTCTTTGATCACACGCTGCTTGAAAAAAGATACTTAACTTGAAATTCTGATACTAACTAGTATAATTTTTCATACTATAACGTATTATAAAAGAGATATAAATAAATAAATATATTATGTAAATCACTGAAATAAAGTATTATTGAGTTTTAGTATCTTATTTACATTATTTTATTAAGTTATGGTATTTCTTATTATACTAATTAGTATAATTTTTCACATAATAAAATATTACAAAGAAGATATAAAGAAATAAGTATATGTGAACCTCTGAGATAAAGTATTACTGAGTTTTAGGATTTTATTTCCATTATTTTATTAAATTATGGTATCTCTTATTAACTTTTCTCTTAAAAGAAATCCCTAAAAATAAAATTTGCTACAAATGTAAATCTATGTAAAATTTAATTGTAAAAGAAAGAATAAATTACGTAGTTTCTTAATTATAAATATTGACCTACAAATATCGTGCACTGAAATAACACTAACGATTATTAATTATAGTTTCATTAAATAATCATTGAATAATTAATATGAATAATTAACGATATTTTATTAATTTTGACATTTATACTTATGATTAAATAAAATTTACAAATTAAATGACATTAATTGTATTCGAATAATCGTTTTCATTTATTCTTATTTTCCAAGGAAAGATTTTTTGGAATGACATAATTTTTCTAATAGAACGAAGAAAAGTTTTTGTTCGAGATGACTAATAATAATTGTAAAATAGAATAGAAATATTTGGTAACATAGCTTCAGTATTATATAAACAGTATGTTATAATGTTACCTGTTACACAACTTCTTGTGTTGACTAGGCTAATAGATATTGCAAAATATTGTAATAAACAATCGATTAAACCAAAATTATTTCTTTTTTAAAAACAAGATAATTTTTTAAATACAAAAAGAGATATTTTTACATAAAGATATTTGTAAATATTTATATAAGTACAATTAAAAAAGAGAAAAAAGCTAGTAAGCCTCTTTTTCTTTCATGATGTAATAATGAAATAGTTTAGAAGAAATATGATAAACAGAGATATATCAGCACTTACTGAAGATTTCATTGCACTATATTTCATATCATTTTTCTCTCACAGAATTATAAACTGGCCAACTGGCACTTTAATATTTAAGAAAATAAAAAATAAAACGTATTACTTATTTTTTAATTTTATCGCTGGAAAATGGACATTAGAAACAAAGAAAAAAAAAGAAGAAGACAAAATATGTCATCATAATTTATGTGAGAAGATAGCTATTTTTCAAAAGATACATGTATAGACATAATTATACCAAGAACTCCTTTTACACGACCTTCTTTTAAATATAATTTAATCACTTTTATATAATTTTTTAACACCCTTTGTTCAATCACGTGATTTTTTAAACATATTTTATTCCTATTTGCACAATTTTTCATATGTTATCAATTTCACGTATGTTACTTATTTTTATTTTCAAATCTACAAAATCGATAAAGATTCAAAAATGGCGTTATTGAATGCAGCTCTGTATTTTAAGTCGCTTTTCATACTTTTTACTTTAATTTAATACGAATTTTGCAATTTATTGAAGATCAAAATTGTTTCATGAATATTTACAGACTTTTTTACATATTATGTGTAATTGTAAAAGTATTGTGTAAAAAGAGTCACAAGCGTACACATATATGTATAGATATATGACTGTAGATTTTTCAAAACAATAATTTTATCAGAATACATGTTCACATGCTCATATACATGTTAATACAGGTTCATATAATAACAAAATATATGTTAAAATTATATATTAATAATTATATTATATATGAATATTTTAAATTATATTTAATATGTGCATTTATTATTCCTGAATAAAACTGATTTTTGGTATAATTTCATTTACTGAAACGAATATAGCGCACAGCTATAGTCACACGTTATTGTTTCCAGCAGTATGTGTATATATCCAGTGTATTATTTCGATGGTCGGTTTAAAAATAAGCGAGAACGTCGACCAAAGCTGCGCAATATTTTTTGAAACAACCTAACGTTTCGTGAAACAAAACTTCATCTGTGTGCTTTATGCAGCAATACGATGAAATTTTAGTAGAAAATTAGATTACTTCTTTTTTCTTGATAAAAAATATTCAATTACAATAATGATAAATTTTAAACTTTAAGTGAAACAAAAGAATATTACAGAATGTAACTCAAAAATCTTTTTAGTTTTCTTTTTTTAGTTTAGATGTATATGAGAAAAAATTGTACCTTTTTCTTATCCCTCATAGAGCCTTTTCCCCTAACCATAATTTTACATCCTGTTTCTTGCTCCAATTGTTTGGCTGTCATACCACGTGGTCCTAGAATTCTTCCAACAAAATTAAACTGTAACAAAGAAAATTATGAAAAGATTTTTAAATGAAAATATCATGTTTACATGTAATTTTTAAATTTGTGTCTTATTTGTAATATCGACACTCGATTTTCATCATTTTGAAGATAATTACATATAGTATATATTAATTATAAATTATATAAATTACACAATATTAAAGGAATTTTATTTCTATTAATTATTATCTTTATTTTATTGTTTAATTTTTTATTTTAGATTTAATGTAGCATTAACAGGTTCTGTGCAATTATTTTTTAGATTTTGGAGTTAAATTTTACTGTAAAATAATTGGGTTCCCTTCGAGTTCAAAATGTCTATGAAATGGTCTTAGGAAGTAAAAATTAAATACCTCTGAGTAGAATCCATATTTTCGTCTCTGTATACAAAATAATATTTTGCATTCATATAATAAATGAAGTGTGGATATTGATTGGTTGTAATAATTGCAGATAGGTGGATTTGATTTTTGAAACAGAGTTTTTAGGTGATTTTTGAATGTCTAGTTCTGTAGCTTTAGTGTGTGCAGATTATCCTATTTTTCCACGTTTGATTTCATATTTAATTTTTAATTGAGAGTGTTTTATTATAAACAATAGAATTGTTAAATAAATATAGTGATTTGTTATTGTTATAAAATAGTTCATTGTGTCTACGTATTACTATTTAGTTAATATTAAACATCTTGTGTGCACAAAATTTGATTAACGAAGTAACCAAATTTTAATATATTTTTAATATAGGAAAAAATTTTTTAAATCGAATTTTTATTGCGATAATTATGTTTGAATCGACAAGCAAATATCTCAATTTTATATGTTTTTCTGAAAAGTTTTATAAATACGTATGATCTCAGAGAGACTTATATAGGAAGAAAATATGACCAGCTTGTATCACTTTTTACATATTGATCTGAGTTATAGATAACTTTTAACTTAAGTTAAAAGTACCTTTTCGATATCTTTTGTTCTATTAATTTTCAGTTTATCTGATTTATCAGTTTAACTTTTATATATTAAGTTGATATAAATCTGTTCATAGAATTCTTCCAACAAAATTAAACTGTAACAAAGAAAATTATGAAAAGATTTTTAAATGAAAATATCATGTTTACATGTAATTTTTAAATTTGTGTCTTATTTGTAATATCGACACTCGATTTTCATCATTTTGAAGATAATTACATATAGTATATATTAATTATAAATTATATAAATTACACAATATTAAAGGAATTTTATTTCTATTAATTATTATCTTTATTTTATTGTTTAATTTTTTATTTTAGATTTAATGTAGCATTAACAGGTTCTGTGCAATTATTTTTTAGATTTTGGAGTTAAATTTTACTGTAAAATAATTGGGTTCCCTTCGAGTTCAAAATGTCTATGAAATGGTCTTAGGAAGTAAAAATTAAATACCTCTGAGTAGAATCCATATTTTCGTCTCTGTATACAAAATAATATTTTGCATTCATATAATAAATGAAGTGTGGATATTGATTGGTTGTAATAATTGCAGATAGGTGGATTTGATTTTTGAAACAGAGTTTTTAGGTGATTTTTGAATGTCTAGTTCTGTAGCTTTAGTGTGTGCAGATTATCCTATTTTTCCACGTTTGATTTCATATTTAATTTTTAATTGAGAGTGTTTTATTATAAACAATAGAATTGTTAAATAAATATAGTGATTTGTTATTGTTATAAAATAGTTCATTGTGTCTACGTATTACTATTTAGTTAATATTAAACATCTTGTGTGCACAAAATTTGATTAACGAAGTAACCAAATTTTAATATATTTTTAATATAGGAAAAAATTTTTTAAATCGAATTTTTATTGCGATAATTATGTTTGAATCGACAAGCAAATATCTCAATTTTATATGTTTTTCTGAAAAGTTTTATAAATACGTATGATCTCAGAGAGACTTATATAGGAAGAAAATATGACCAGCTTGTATCACTTTTTACATATTGATCTGAGTTATAGATAACTTTTAACTTAAGTTAAAAGTACCTTTTCGATATCTTTTGTTCTATTAATTTTCAGTTTATCTGATTTATCAGTTTAACTTTTATATATTAAGTTGATATAAATCTGTTCATAAATAAATAAATTAAATATTTATTACAATTTTATAGGTAATGCTCTATTATTATTATTATTATTATTTAAAATATGCAACGTCGAAGTTATTTCTAAGTTTCCTATATTTCACGAGACAATTACACAAAATAATGTGATTGTTCCATGTAAACTGACCTAGAATCTTATAATTAGATCAAGTTACCAATAATGGCCGACTATATGCATATCAGACACAATCATCTACTGCTTTTGAGTTATGGATTTTTCACGTATATTCGATACATATGCGTTTTAAAAACAGAGACACGTTGACAGGACCAACTAGAACTTATTATTTAACACGTAGATTATTTGTTTTCATGTTTTCACGTTTCAAAGAGTAAAATGTGTCACGCTTGCAAAATTGCTGAGAAATAAATTACACATTAATTTTCCATGAAATTTTAAATAATTTGACAACGTATTCGACAACTACCAAAATTAGAAAATTACATACATCGAATTAGACTAATATATAAAATTATGTTCAAATAAAAATTTAAGAATTTGATCGTGTTACTGATAAATACTGTTATTTGTTAGTATTATTTTAAACGAAACATATTTAATTAAAAGAATTTTGGTATAAAATTGACTGATTAGAAAACTACGCAATTTATATTCAAACTATCTTTATGCAAAATAGAAACAAAAACAAAAATACGAGTTTTATGTCAAATTGTATGTAAAAAGTAATTCGTTTTTCCATTACTCAATGTCTTTTATCCGTTAATATTTTATATTAGATATATTTTTTTGCTCTATTCATCATTCTATCACACTTTATAAAATTTTCTCTGTTTAAACAGTTGAAATTCATTTATAAAGTTATTAAATAACAATTTCGCTAAAAAAATCTATTTAAATCTAAATTAAAGAATAGTTCTTTTTTCTTGTCATTTAAGAAATAAACACTGTCAAAGTGAAGAAAACTGCTGATATTTATAGTATTAACTTTAAATTAATTAACATAAAATTCAACATAGTTGCAGATGAGAACGTAATTCTAAATTTTTGGTCGATAATAAATATGTATGTAAACGAATAAATTTTATTTTCAATTTAAAATATATCTAGGAATCAAACCAATGTAATTAAATGTAATTATTGTTCTACATTTAAGTAACATCTTTTGCTCTATTGATCTATAGACTATGTTCCCTGATAAAATATCAAATTAAAAGTTCTGTGACGAATTATATTATCAACTATCTTCTAATAAATGACTAATTGATTTATTCACATGTTTAATCGTTATTATTCTCTATCTTTGTTGCATTAATTCAATTTCATCTCAAAGGAAACAAATTTCAAGATATCTATTTAAAAAATTCATTTCATTTTTCTCTCTTTTTATTTCAATATTAAAAAGAAAGATCTTATTTATATACTATATATTATTATTATAGAGCAAATTACTTAAATATGCCACCTGAAATTATTATAAATTATTCATTATATGAAATAATACTTTAAAGGAAAATTGTTTAAGTGGGACATATCATGTAAGTAATTTATATCTTCTTCTTTTAGAGAGATATGAATGACTTAATAGCTTTTTATTCAGTTCTCAATACTTGTTAGAATTACACTATCAAATCTGTTATAATTAAAAAGATTTAATTTTCTGATAAAAAAGCGAAATAACAAAACACTAATTATAACATTGTATATTCTCTCTAATACCAAATAACATTTGTTTAAAATATTTTCATATCTAATACATAGTTTACAAGTAGTTAATGTGCCTTCAAGTCAGATGGCAGAATTAAATGACTCACCCTATACTGATATGACAGAATATATTTCAAGACAAAATATATTTCTACACTATACATTCCTTACTATAAGAACCTAGTCTTTGTTAATATTATTTATTAGAGACGTAAAATATCAAATTTAATTAATATATAATATATAATTTTTAATACACGCAGGAAAGCAAATAAGTAAACGTTTAAAAATAAGTGTATGGCATATTAATAACGCACTAATGTACACTTATGAAGAAAATTTGAAAAATTCTAGTCCTCTAGTTTCATGTTCAGTAAACTTCAATATAGAAATTAATTTTAGAATAACCGTTGAACCGAATCAAAAAATTAATAATCGTTATATCTCTTTAATAATGAATGAAAGAGGCGCATGAAAGAAATGTTGCTTATGTCTACACAAATTGTTAAAAAATACAAGATGTCTGTATATCGTTCCATTTTGGGAAACAAAAGGAAACAAGAAGACGTTCGAGCTTATTTTTCCTTTAAAGTAAGAGCCATCCGTAGTATTTCATTTGTCACGTGCAAGAATATTCTTCCTATAGTCGAATCGTTATAACTTGAAAATCTCTATAACTGTACAATTTAGTTCAGTTTAAATTGACTTTAATTCGAATTATTTGTTACATTATTTTACTATAAATTTTATAACGCATATCCAAAATAACGTAAAATTTATTTACAGGTTTATATGTGTTTACCTCCATAAATTAAAAGCTTATCACCATTGCCTCTACGATTCGAAATAATCATGCTTTACAGTCTGTTACTAACTGGTCATTCGACACTGTTTCTTTTGTTTCTTTTCCTTCTCCCTTCTATGTTAAAGGCTGCTATAAAATTACAATCCTTGAAGCAAGGAATTATTAAAAATTTTGAAACTTTATATAGAAAAGAAATTGTAAATAATATAATATCATATGCATACAGAGAAAGAGAGCAACAGTTCTACCATATTACAGACAAGGATAGTAGATAAAACTTCTATATAACAAATTTCCATTTGTTAAATCTCCTTTACGCGAAAACTTTGATAGGATAAAATTAATAAAAACATTCATATGTTGGTAATTTCAGTTCCTCTCTTGACATTCCAGATCGTATTTCTAAATCTGCATATTCACTGATCGCGGCAAATGGCTCCCAAACTTTCGTGAATCTTCTGCGCAGCCAGTGAATTCACATGGTGCGCACGAACAACAGCGCGCCAAGCGAATCATACGCGAAATATCGACATTGCTTGCAATGCCTGCAGACGTCGCGAATGTTGCGAGCCTGTTGCGTGAGCCATGAATACTTGGGCTAATAGACCTCTATAAAATATCTTATAACTTTATACACTTCACATAACTACCATATATAACTGTTGTATAGGAACATCAATACTCGAATTACTGAGCTGTAATATTTTATACGAGAATAATAATAATTAATGCGATACGATAAAAATAAATAAGTATACATATATAACTGTGTTTCTATCTCAATGAAAGTCGACATTAGTTTTGTCAGAACGGCTGTACGTTTTTGGTAACTGTAAAAATTAATTGCTTGATAATTCTAACGTTAAGTTCTAAATTTTTGCATTGCAGGTAAAATCGTACGATTTATTTTATTTCCAAAAATAAAGATAATGATTTAATGGTTACTGGAATGTCAATAAAAATATTAGAAATAATTAATGTCAAGTTGTGCAATAGTTTTTTTCAGGATATTTGATAGAATATACGTTTCGCTGGTATGCAGAAGCATAGAATTAATTAACCTTTCAGTAACACAAACTCGAATGTCACGTTTCCCTTTATCTACCCTGCACAAAAATAACATTTACAATTAAGTTAGTATACTAAATATTTTGACTAACAAAGCTTTTACATTTGGAGAATTATTAATAAAAATATTTGAAATATTTATAACCTCTATTTGATTAATTAAAGGGTAATGCACAATTTATTTTTATTTTTTAAATAATTGTAGCAATTTTTATAATATTTTTAAATAAAAAAATTTTGTATAATGTTATTACTATTAAGATCACTTTTAATGAGATGACATATATATGCATATACAAAGTAATATTATTATAATGTATTATTATACCAATTATATGATAATAACTTTGTTTAATATTCAAAGATTTTTTGAAACGATATATAAATTAAATTCGTATTTTTATATTCGTATCGATAAGTTATTAGATTTTAATTTGAAATTTTTACATTACTTTTATATTACTCATAATTTCCAAAAAACCTATTTTAAATTGTTATTACAAATTAAATGCCATAATAATACAATAAAATTAATTTATTATTTATTTTATTTTGTTATTTCTTGCTTTATTATCTGTGTGGATATTTTTTAATTAGTATTTCTCTTTTACGTGAAAGTTAATAAAAATTTGTCCTATATTAAGTAAAATAAAGTGCTTTAATTAATTCAATGAAAAAATAATTTAAAATCAATAAAACCTTGAATGAAAAAGTGTTAAAATTGAGATGTTAAAATAAAAATTAAACAAAACATTAAAAAATTCATTATGTATTATAACACAATTGCATAAAACTGTACGTTCAATAAATTCATTTATATTCATACATCAAGTAGTTCATAAATTGATCACCACCGTGTATGAGCTGTTTCTCACAGTTTAACAAAAAATGTTTCTAATTAAAATTCATTAGTATCTAATATAGAATTTAGTTACATAAATGATGACTTTTGAAAATATGTCTCTTTCCCAATAAAGAATCGGAGATTTTTAGATAGTATCATATTTTTCTTTTCATATTCTTAAATTACTAGAATAGAAGATAATAAGTTACTAAAACTTTCTGATTTTGAAGTAACATTAAAAAAGCACAGATTGAAAAATATATAAAATTGATTACAATTCATTATAATAGCATAGTAATATTAATAGTAGATAATATAATATAATATAAATCCCTATGCAATATAATCTAGCAATGTAACATTAATAATAATTAATGCTATACTATATAATGTCATATAATAATACTATAGGATTAATAATAATTAATATTAATAATAATTAAGAATATAATATAGCAGAATAACAAACAAATAAAGGAACACTGAACAAGTATGGACATACAAAGATGCAACCTCCAAGTCAAATCGTATTATACAGGGTTAATTTGCATTTGAAGTACATTCCTCGAGTTAATCGTAAATACATCTAGAACATTATGTCTCAAAAGATGGAATGCAGTTTGAACACTCACTATTGCTTTCATAACCTTTGCAATATTTATTTTTCAATTATCTGTATTTATTGTATATTCTTATTCTATATTCTATATTATGAATTATATTTCTGGCATAAATTATATTAGAACCAAATAATAAAAGCTATATGCTGTAATATTATTAAATATTTCTTTCTTATGATTCAAGAATATACTCAGAGAGCTTTCCTCAAAAAAGTCAATAGTAAACGGAAATACGAATTGTCTTAAAAAATACAAATGATTACAAAATCTGTTTATAAATAATTCAATTATCAGTGAATATTAGAGATTTAAATATTTAATATTTAATTTATTAAATATCGTTTAATAGTCACAATTCTTATAAAATCACTATAAGTAATTTATTTCAAAAATAAATGATTAAACTTGGAAAGTATAATATATTCTAGTATTGATAAAAATAATAAAATTTTACGAAGAAAAGCTAAAAGAAAAGAATTATCTCTTTATAATCCCTAATTTGAATTTAGATATTGCATCTCTTAAAGTTTATTTATACTTTTATCATTATTGGATTATATTGGGAAGAAATATAACCTAACTACTAACCTAACCTAACCTAACATGAATTTACATATTGTATCTTTTAAATTTTATTTATACTTTTATTATTATTGGATTATACTGAGAAGAAAATTATGCAAAACTGATGTCAATCATTCTCAATTAGCTCAAAGGATTAACATTTAACGTCCCAATAGTGAGACTTTATATCCCCTAACATATCAAGGAGTACATAATTAAAATTACAAGTTTGGTGGCATATGAGACGCAATTAATAGAATTAATGCAAAAATAAAGAAATATTCGAAACAATTATAATAATAATGTAAAAGCAACATTCCTGAAAAAATTGCAATCTTCTAGTGAAAACAAATTCACATTCCTTGTTTTTAAACGCATTCGATAAGCGTCGCAAATTTCCACAGCAGATTATTACATTGCATATAAAGAGTTGAGAGAAGAAATCATTTCTGATGTCTTTTTTAAGCTTCGCTAACGTCATGTTGACTTGAAAGTCTATATATCTATAATATACCTTTTAAATCTTATTTTGCTTAGATATTACCATACTATATTATTTCGTTAATTTTTCACTTATTATTACATTTTTTAATTTATTATTTATTTATTTATACTCATAATTAGTTATCATATTTTTATTGTCATTATTTATTCAATAATTTATTAGTCATTGTATTTTGATTTTTGTAATTTATTCTCTTGCTTATTGATTATTATATTTTTATATTTATTATTTATTAGGATATTTAATAGAGATACTTTATTATGCTAATGCAAAATAATTTATCTATAGCAATTTCAATTTTTTTTTTCTATAATAAATAAATTCAAAGAGTCAACGAAACTTTTATACCCGAAAAAAGTGTTTGAAAAAATATTTTTTTACATACGACGAACATAGAACATGCTCCTGAAGTTCTTTCTTAAATGCATTACCAGTATTACACAATACATACATACAAAACTGTATTTCGACTTTCATTTCTTTAAATAATTAGTTCATTGCATGCCAGTTACATATTGCAAGGTAACAATTTTCTCTACTCAATTTACTTATTTGCAGTTATAAAACAGTATCATCAAATGATATAAGGAATTAAACAAATAAAAATCAAACTAAGAAATGTAATCTTAATGTAATCTTAATTTCAGTGATAAATTATAAAATATCAAATTAATTAGCATAGTATTAAAATCTATACATACAACAACCACAAAAATATTCTAATATCTGTACAATTTAACTTTTATACTCTGTATTATGAATAAATAAATATAAAAAGATATATTATATCGCGCTAGTGTGTAGAGATAGAGGGTATAATTAACATTAGAATTACTACACAAGTCAAAATGATTAATTTCAAACTTTTAGTTCTCATAGTTGTGGAAAACATGAAGCTGCTTTTGGTAAAATTAATATTAACTTTTATTCAAATAAAGACGTAATTATACTTTTTATTTCCATCATAACACTTTAACTATAATTGGCTATGTGTATAATATTCAGGTACCCATTGGATGACAGTAATCTAGTGAGCACATAGAGTATAATATTCCTGACAGTCATGGAAGAGTGACGTCATGACGTGAAAAATGGTGGGATGATGAACTAAATTGTACATGTAGCCGAATATTTTTATGACCGACCGTAGGTACACAAACAGAAATATAAACAGAGTTATAGGATAACAACTGTATGTTTTAGTTTAAAATAAAGTAACCACAGAAATGATAAAAACTTACATCTGGATGTTCTTTAACAGGTACATAAACTTTTTCCGTAAGCGTTGCGATGTCACCCTCTGGTTCTGGCAGAACCAGTGGCTCTTTTTTGACACCACTGATCTGGAAAAGACTCGCCCGCACTTTTGCGATTTCTGTAACATAGAAATAAGAATGCAAACATCTTTACTTTTAATCTCAAATAAAATATTTTTTTAAACTAATTATCATTAACCTGTAAAAGAAAAGATAGAAACACAGAGACATAAATATAATTATTATACAAAATTATTATACTATATTATGATACAATTGAATTATGATATTATACTATATATAGAATTATTTAGTTGTTTTTAATCATACATATATACGAAAATTTGTAAATAATAAAATAATGAATTCAAACAATAAAATTAATAACAAAAAAGGGCATATATATTTTAGTATTAAATTTTTTCTTGCTTAAATTTTTAATATACATATATCATATCCACATACGTTTCATATGTATTATTTAAATATATTGGTAAAAGTATAATATAATTTTGTTATATATAAGAACTATATCGTTAAATAGAATATATAGTTAAAAAATTCAAGATATATTATTGTACATTTATTTTAATAATGTTATGCACGTTACAATTGTAAATAAAAATTTTATATTAAAAAAATAAAAATAATAAAATAAGATATAAAGAAAAATTATGTTTAAATATATTTTATCACATTAATTATTTTAAATGTTTAGAAGTATAATAGCATTACAACAACAAAGTGGTGAGATTGCACTTTCTCATGATTCAGAACCTTGCATATATGTCTATATTTCTAATTAAGAATGAAATTACAAGAATTTATCACGTTGAAAGATTGTTACATGACAAATATCAGTTACATGTTAGCTAATAGTACAATTTGTCAATTTATTATAAAATTAATCTCGTCTCAATTCAATTCAATCCATCGCTATAATTTATACAAAAAAATAAAAGGAAACAAAAAACTAAGAAATACAGAGAAAATTTACAAAATTATCAAATAAGGAAAAAGTATAAAATTGATACCATATATAATATTTTTATTGTATAACATTTTTAAAAGATTATAGCCATATTTATAATTCTATAAAATTATGAAAAAGTCACTACATTAAAATGTAGTTTCACTGAAGTGACATCAAAATTTTATATTTTTCGCAAAATCAAAAATGATATATATATATAATAAGAATCACAATAAAAATTTAATAATTAAGATTAAGATTAAGACTAAAATATAATAATTACGAAAACTTTAGTTTAGCCAGTAATTTAATGACCTAACCTAAGTTTATCCATTAATTTAATAACCTAACCTAACTTCATTCAAATTATAGTCCTCTAGCACGATTAATACTGTGTACTACCTTTTCGTTTACTTTTACCCGGTACTATCTTTCCTATGAACATCTATCAGTAACAATATTTTGTTAAATTTTCAAACCAGAAAAATTGGAAGCGAATCAACCGACTAAGTCAACCAACAAGCGAAGCACCATTTTTAGCCTGTCAAGGTCTAATAAACAATTCAGTTTACACTCCAGACAGATCTCTTTATTTTTACCGAAAAACTTGACTATAACTTACACAAAGTTATAGTCAACGTGTGAGATACGTTTAGTATTATATAAAATATGTACGAAAAACTATGTCTGCAAAAATATTGTGAGAAATAATGCGAATACCACGAGATATTAATAAAAAGTTAACTGCTCTTGTCAAGGTATTGTAAAAATAACACATAGAAGAAAACAAATTTTTAAAATATAAGTTTCATTGAATTATGAAAGTAAAATGAGATTATATACGTACTTCTAATTGTTTCATTTCTTCAACATGTTCAGTTTATGAAAATAAACTTTATATTTTTATTAGTATTTTACTATATCTTATAATACATTTACTATAGTATAAATATTTAGTATCTAAAAATTAAAAAAAAGTAAGATACGGAAATCTGAGACAGATTATTATTTTTGAATAATCTCAGAAATGTTATAATGGCTTCTAGAAAATCTGAAATATTTTTAAGAAGTATTACTTTTCAATTTTTTTATTAATATTGTTGTTATCTAACATTAATACTCAATTACTCGTCAAAATTAAATTAACTATATTTTCCCTTAGTAAAAACTAAATAATAATCTTTCTATTAACAATTAATACGTAATTAATAAATTAAAATACGTAAAACTAATAACAATCACACAAATTTGTTTCAGAACCTTGAACATTGTTTAATTAAAAATAGAAAATTTTAAAGTTAACAAAATTCGCGCCATAAACATCGTTTAATCATAAAAAGTGTAAGCATTCGTCAAAACCAATATTGTTTAAATTCCGTTAGCCACGGAATCTAACCTTAAACGTCTCTTTATAACGCAGAAAAATGTATATTTATTAAAAGATCGGAACGATTAATCGATATTGGTTATAATTAAAAACCACTGAAGAAAGAGAAAATTTAAAGAAAAATTCAGAATTTAGAAAGCAATACGTATAACGTAAAATGCTCCACATCTTTTTACTGTACGAAATAATTTTAAACTTGTTTCCAGTTACACCTAATTGTAAATATCACCAACTGTACAGTTGTGAATACATGTTTACCGTAGTACGCATGCGCGCGCGGGTATAAGAATGTGAATAAAAAGAGATGGCAAACGGAACACATAAGCAAGAGGAACACAGCATCATATCCACTTTTAGCAACATTGCTCATTACAGCTGACATCAGCTGTATTATATTCTCGTAGCTTTCTTACCTTCCTGTTTTCCACTACATTGTTCCGTTCAATTTTATTGTATCGTGTATTCGAAACAATATCATTAAATAAACAGTAAACAAATATTGTATTTTTAATCATTAAAATTCGATTACAGTTCGAATTTTAAGTAGAAAATTAGCAAAGACAGGATGGAAAAAGTTTGTATGTAAAATCAATCCAATATTTCTACAATCTATAACAGTATTGACAGTAAATACGTATATTTGATGTGACAATAAAGAAGTTCAATAAAGTCATAATATTTTAAAGAAATAATTTGTCATATAAGAATATGGACTAACAGTGTTGCTGTTATCCTATATACTTGACTCACGTTGTGAATCATGTGATATAATTGATTAATTTCATTCATGGAAATGCAACTTCTTAATACCACACAATGAACGTCTGTGTGTGTACATATTGAACAAAAAGTAGGACTACTTTAGTCAGTTGAAAGACGAAAATATTATTCGAAAGTAGATCAGTAATATTATTGGAGGTTAATTATAAATAATATAAATACTATTTATAACCGTTTATCATATTACAAAATATCGTACTCGTAGTTTGTAAAAATAAATGGCGATTATTCTCAAACAATGAACACATGTAAACAATAGCTACATTTGAGAGAATATACAATTGAAAAACCGAGAAAAAGGACAAAGCAAAATTCCAAGGCGATAATATAGACCTGCGAAGTAAAAATGCTTGTTACGTGTGAGAATAAAAATCTATCTAAGCGTAGGCTGTGATGTTGAATCGATGCTGGTATTGGTTAGGTGCAGCGTCTATGACATCATCGATGGCGTAATCACGAAGACTACGATCCATGACACAAATCAAATACTCAAAGACAATCGCGGTTTGAGGAGACAAATGTTTAATTCATAATCAGAAAAATGGTTTACTCCTGTTTCAGGATCACAAATATTTAACAACCATTTTTAAGATGTATTCTCTTGTATCTTTTTGCACAGTATACTCTAGATGTAAGTTACTGTTACTCTTATTAAGTATTCTGTACTCAAAATTTTGAAGAATTTCAATTTACATATTCTAACGGGATCATTTAGCTCTTTTAACTGTATATTTTAAAATAAAAATATATTAATAAATATACTAACAACTATAATAATAATGGTGTTTTGTATCATGTATAAGTATAATTATAGATATCTAATATGAGATACTAAAAAATAATAAACACTTTTTTTCATATTGTTTTGTAAATAATATCATTAGTGAAATTTGTATACTTTACTTATATTTTAACAGAATATACAAATAATTTTACATGACTTTCTAATTTTTTACAAAGATTAATACTTTGAATATATTTCCAAAATTTATCACAATATCGACATATAAATTTATACTATAAAACAATTGAATGTTTGCCAAAAAAAAAAAAAAAAATAAAAAAAAATAATTAATAATGGAATGGAAGACGAAACTATGTATATTCATATTAAAATTTTTAGTAAAATAAAGTAATAATTTCGTACCTTCCAAAATTACAACAAGAATTTATTTTTTAATTATTATAATAGTGAAAATATAGTAAGTGGCATCAAATAAAAATTATATATTACATTATGAAATTTTCTATAAATTTATTATATTATATTACTATATTATCATTAAATAATATATTTACTATAAATATTATATTACTTACAGTAATATATACTAAATTGTAAAAATTTTTATTATCATGCACAGTGGCAAATGAAAGTAACATTGAAAGCAGTGGCAATGAAAGGGTGCAACTATATAATTATTTTGCACTATTATTTATTAGATCGGACTCTTCTGACCACAAAGATTAATAAATAACGGATTATTATATACTTTCAGTATAAAATCATTGTGGCAACATAATAATAAAATTAACAAAATATAATTATAAACCTATGATAAACTAATTGTAGAAAATACTATACAAACACAGCTATTTTCCATTCTTATCTCCAATAAATCAGACCGATTTCTATTATCTAAATTTCACAACAGCAAGTGACAAACGATTATATATTTTTGTATTTCATTTGTAAAATTACTAACATTTTAGATTATTTTCTATTTATTTAATTTTTTTTTATGACCATAACTTCAAAATGTATGATGTAAATCTAATTTACATTTTCTCTACAAAGATATGTTAAAATTCGTATTTCAGTTTTTATTTTATGTAGATTAACTAAAAGGCAAAATAACTTATAATATCTAAATTAATAGAATTAATACATTACTTTAACGTAAAAAATAAAAACATAAAGAAGTATAAAGTGTCTTGTACAATTTATAGCAAATTTAACTTTCTACTCTTATTATTTT